GATCTACTAAAGGAAGCTTATCCAGAAGAGACCGAGTTCAAAGAGAATGCGGCATGGCAAGTTATCTATTAATAGTTTGTTAGTTTCCTTTTATCTTTAGGAAAGTGTGTTTAGTGTCCTATGCATCGTCTTCGATCTCCGGCGAAGGGATAAGTCCAATGTTCCGCCAGTCCAGGCAATTGTATCGTTTACGTCGGCGTCGTTCAAGGCTGCATCAGTACATTCGACCTCTTGGATTGCTCTGGTTTGGATGATATATTTGCCTACCTATTTATCATATATCTCTGTTAATCTAGTGTCAGCATATCAATTTAGCTCTATCGGCTGCTTCTCGTTTTAGGGTTTCTGCCAGTATCGGCTAAATCGCCTTGCTAGATTAGATTAGCTTAGACATCTACCACCCTGAAAACTCAGTCAACGGCTTGATTGTCTAGATATTATGTTTCTTTTCATACTTAGTGCTGCATCAGTTGAGTTTGATCTACTAAGTCATGCTTAGAATCATAATCTCTAGCTTGCTTCTTGATTGCCAATAAGGGTTTCATCGGAGTTTCAGCCGGTGAGTTATCTGGATGTTGCATCGGCTCATAAGGATTGCATGTACATATAAGTTGGATTTAGCCGATGACAACAAATGTTTCATTGTTTAATCTAATCTTGTGGATTTCATGACATCGGACCTCCAGCCGATGTGTGATTTAACCTTCGGATCGATGCTTATTTATCATATCATTATTTGCCGATTGGTTTATACTGGATTATATTGTTATTTTATTACATCATCATCAGCCGATTGCCTTTATATCATCATCTATATTGGATATATAGCCGATTGCTTAAACCCTATCGCTATCGGCTGGTATCGACATCGGCTATTATCGGCTATCGGCTGGAACTACTCTATCGGCTTGTCAGCCGATCGGTTGTTTTGATCTACTATTTGCATATTTTGTCAGTTGCAGGATCAAACTGACTGGCACGCTCGCATCTCACCAACCTTTGGACCTGCACTGGAGCTAAGCAGATCTCCCAGGCCGGTGTGTTCGATTTTTTCGTCAACAATAGGAGTGGAGATGAGAGGCGAGGAGATGGGTGTGGAGGAGAGCGGAGGACAGCGATGACGATTGAGGGACTAATTTTTTTTTTAGGCTAAGACATCCATCTGTAATAGCCCTAAATTATGAGCCATTATACATCACTAGATAGACATCTTATTAATGGCTCTAAATTATGAGTCGTTACAAATATCCAAATCATCTGAAACGGTTCTAAATTGTGAGCCGTTGCAGATGATTAAATGAAGATATGTAAAAGCTTTTTTTTTTTAATGAGCTGTTACATATGTATCAGTAATGGCTCTTAGTCGACTTGGCTATCTGTAACGGCTGTCAAGATTACCCGTTATAAATACGGTCATATGTAACAGCTCTCTTTGGCCTTTAACAGATGGCCAGATGTCAGGATCCGTGCTAGTGACTTACCGCTAATGCCAAAATATCAACCTCACAGGTGCCTAGCCAGTCAGGAACTTTTCTACTTTGCTTGGTATGTTTTCCACACCCTTCTCATGAAACTCAACTGCTAACACTACCTGATGACAAAACAACTATATTATTCTAAAATTCCACAGAAGTACGTAATTTCAACTTCCAATCCAAGATGATTCAAGCTTTAGCGCACATGTACACATGTTTCTGAACTTTGTCCCGAGCAGCAACACACATGGTTTGAACTTTGAACAATAATACACCAGCAGGGAGTACGTGCATGGTGGTTATGAGCCTATGACTAACAGATCAATCTGTACATGTGCCGGCCATTTGGACTCCACCGGATCGTGCAGTTAGATAGCTAGACACTCATCTCCAAATTTGGACAAATATTCTTCACGCCATGGACAGAAACCGGCATATGGCATGACTAAAATTAACTGGCTCAGGTAACGTTGTTGACTGGCTGTCATAGTCACAAATATATAGTCCTAGATCTGCTTAATTACACGCGTGAACTGTATATGAATATGTTAATTAGTATTGATATATTCTTCACACGTGCTAGCTAGTATACGTGTGGCAATAAATTATTGCATACATTTCAAGGGAAAAAAAGGGAGAATAGCCAACATGATCCTTGAAGATTTGCTCTGGGATTAATTTAGTCCCTAACCTTTTATATTGTCCAAACGAGTCCTTATAATTTGTCATGTGGACTAATATAGTCCTTGGGCCCACTTAAATCGCCATGTGAGCATGCCATGTTATGCTCTCATGCAAAATATATGGTGAAATGTCCAATATACCCTTCCATATACCATACAAAAATAATGAAAAGAATTTACAAACTTTGTTCAATGTGACTTAGGATATATGGCAAACTTTTTTCATTGGATTATGCTAATACAAAGTTAAATTAGCTACAACCACTAAATATATAATTACCATGCCAAATAAATTTAATGTACGTAGTTGCATTTCAATGTTAAAACTCTAATGGATATTTAATATCATCTACTTTTTTTATTTTTCTCCTTTTCTTTGCATCTTTTTCCCCATGACGATATGTGTAAGGGTAAATTGGGTATTTCATCATATATTTGCATTGGAAGATGACATGGCATGCCCATGTGGCAATTTTTGATGGGCTAAGGACTGTATATGTCTACATGATAAAGTTTAAGGGCTTGCTTGGACAATTTGAAAGGTAAAGGACTAAAATGATCTTAAAGCGAAACTTCAGGGACCATAGTGGTTATTCTCCCCAAAAAAAATTAAGCATTGCGGTTTTACCATGACCGGTAACTGAATATTAACCTCTCTAATTAAACACCGCGTAGATCGCTGGAAATTCACCGCTTCATGTCAGCCTTTTTTGCAAAGAAGCCTCCGCATATTGTCCACTGTACGATCTTGCGCTAATTAAGATAAACTAAGGATGATTAGAAGGAATATCTTTCTCAGCCTTTTGGCTATTTGGCTATTTGGCTATTGGCTAAGGGTGTGTTTAGTTCGCGAAAAGGATGATTAGAAGGAAATATATATCCTATGTACATAAACTTCTCGTACACACTCCATGCATATCAAATAGCAAATGCCATAGAAAATTCTAGAAAAAATCGGACAAATACTAAAAATCTTAGTTCTCTGATTGGAAATTTATGTTGCGAAGTTTTTTTTTCACTTTTTAAGACGCCAGTACTGATTATGAATAAATAAAAGAAAAGGGACATCATCTGCTATCCCACTATCATATCGGAGTTGAGAGAGCGGAGATAAAGAAAGGATGGAGATGGTCATCAGTGTCATTCCTCCCACTTCGGGACGGTGACGAGGAAGCGCTCAAGCGGTGCCAAATCCGATGGCCAAGGATCTCGGGGTTTCAAATCCACCACGGACAAGCAACGAAGACAAGTAACGGAGTTTCAAATTCCCCCATATTGTGTGAACTATGAAGTTCTGATTTTGATCGCAATGACCGCTTCCTCCCTCGCCATGACCCTAGGCAAGAGGAGGAGGAGGACCAGGAAACTTTATCGATACTATGCTATTAGCCATTAATACGAGCACATGTGCCACGTCTAAAACTTGAATTTGGGTAGGCAAGTTTCACCATAAGAAATCTAAACAATTGAGTTATGCTCACTTTACAGTTATATAACTTTTAATTAACCCGTTCCAATGGTCATATCTTAGTTTTATTTTGAATGGCGTAGTTCCTATATAATATTATTATAAAATATATGTGTTTTCTATTCGGTATTTTAGTCTGCATATTGTTGTCAGGAAGGAGATAAGGATTTGTCACATAACTTCGTATCTTTTTATTATCTTTTTAAAATTCTTGACCGTGTTTATATTGACAGAGATACTGTTTTTATTATTAAAAATTGATCGGGCCTTAATGAAAACTATCATGGTCGGACTAATTTATAACTTCTGTGTTTATTTTTTAAGGCAAACTAATATGGTCGACACTAGATAAAGAACTGACGTAAATTCTTTGAGTGAAAACTTTCAAATATAACTACTATAGTGTAATTCCAATATAACTATACTATAACTACACTAAAAATTTTATGTAACTTGTATATATATAAGTATTAAAATGCATGTCACTTTATAGTAAGTTATATATATATAAAGGTATATAGTTATAGTGTAATTACACTGTCGTGATATCAATATTACACCACAGTTACATTGAAAAATCTTTTAAGTCGATATTTAGCAATTACCAAGTGGGTATTAATAACGAGGAGAACAGCAAAAGTAATTAGTCGAAACTCGAAAATCAGGTGTACTTGCATATGGGTATTACTTGGCATAAAGGCTGGTCTTAATTTCAAAGCACGTGAGCTGACCGCGCGATGAATACCTACCTACTACATGTGGCTCCCAAGGAGTACAGAAGAAATTAAACGCAAATTAATGAATGTGCAAGCGTATGTGTACATGGCCCTACCAAACAATGACGACAACGACACTACAAGAACGACGTAATATTTTTAATTGAGGTAGCTGCTACACGTGTTAAATTTGTATTACAAAGCTCTTAAAAAATTAATGATATATTCACATCGTGAAACAAAGTGATGTTAAGACTTTATTTTTTTTTAAGAATAGTACGTATAGACTTATTATTCTAGTGTGTTTGAAAGAAGAAAGAAGATTAAGAAAATAAACCATTAAATATGATTAATTAAGTATTAATTATTTTAAACATAAAAAACAAATTAGTGTAATTTATTTATAGAAAAAATTATAAAAGAAAAATGATGATTACTACTCCCTCCGTCCAATAAAAAATCTATCAGAGGTTGTTTAAGGGAGTACTCACGTGGAAAGGGAGCGAAACCTCTCTCTTTCTTCTAGCAACAAACGGTCGAACGCAGCCAAAAAGCAACAAAAAAGACTTCAAGTTGGTACAGCGACGACGCCGCCCTTTCTTATTTCCTCGCTCTTCGACGTGCTGCGGCCTCTATAAATAAGAAAGCCGGGATTAATTAAAGAGTGCGTGTGATCAGATCGTGTGCCATGGAGTCGATGCTCGTAGCCGGAGCGGGCGCGGCGGCGGTGGCGGCCGTCGGGGGCCTCGTCGCGGCGGCCGCGCTCGCCGACAAGCTCGTCGCGGCGCCGCCGCCGCGCAAGAACCGCGCCAACCCGCCTCCAGGTAATTAATTAATCCAGCTCGCCGTGTTCGTTTCGATCGATCAAATGATCTTCTCCAATTGGTTTGATCCTCACTGCTGCTGTGTCTCGGTGTTCGTCGTACTCTCTCCATTGATTGATCTCTGTTGGAGATGGCAGTGTATGTGGTTAGTTTGTTCGTCGGAAAATATGTCGAATTTTCTCTGTTTCAGCTAGTGCGTAAGCTTTTTTTTTTTGATGGAATGGTAATTTCTGGTGTCGCAACAATTAGAAATGAGCATGAATGATCAGTTTGGCGTAGATAACAGGATTTGAGCTATAACAGCACTCACGGCTGCGACAGCACACCTATTGTGCACAAACAAGTACTCCGCCGTTCTAAAACATAAGTATTTTTTTTACATGTACACGATCTCCGAGATGATACTTTAATCAACAATATCTACAAAAGTAAAATGTCTTAAATAAAAAGAGTTGCATATTATGATAGTTCGTTTAATGATAAATATAATAAAATTAAATTTACATGATTAATCTTTTTTAAAAAGTTTGACTTAGCACTGTTCTAAAAATGCTTATATTTTGGGACAGAGGGAGTAATATAAATGGAGGAGGTGGTTAGTGGTTTTGGCAGATGTAAATATAGTATAATTGTAGTGTAATTACATTGTAACTTACATATAACTACGATATAAATTTGAACCGTTCGATTTGCTTTAAAATTCGCAAGGGATGTAGGAAAAAATCACAACCCACTCACATGTGAGGCGATTCAGTACCATTACCTCCGTTTTCACATAAGTAGCACATCACCTAGGGATTTTTGAAAATTACATACTCCCTCCGAGCTGATGATATTAGTCGCTTTAAATAAGGATAAAATCAAACCTTAAAATCTTTGACTATAAATAATTTCTAAAATATTTATCTTAAAAAATGAAAACCATATATATATATATATATATATATATATATATATATTAGTCTTAAAAAGTACTTCAATAAAATCATATATTTGTTGATATTTCTATATATATTATAATAGAAAATAGTTATCAAAGCTACTCTTTGGAGACTGTGCCCTTGTCCAAAACGACAAATATTATTAACCTGGAGGGAGTACAAGTTAAACTATAGTTACATGTAAGTTACGTTGTAATTACATCACGGTATTTACACCTATCAAATTTTTTAGCGAAAATTTAACGACAAATGTATAGCTAATCCCTTAATTTTGATATATTGCTTGAAAATCGAATTTTCCGAACAGCAATTTGTCGCGATGGACCATATAGGAATTAAAGTGGATAATCCAAATCCACTAGATTTTATTGAAACTATATATCCTAATCCTAATACTAATCCGTTGGATTTTGAAAAAATACTTACCATATCTCCGTTCGATTGGATTCAGAACGGATCAGATTGAAAAGTGTTAAATCATTTTTCATCCTTTTTTTTTTGAGAAATCCTTTTTTTTTCTGTAGTCCTCGGTTCAGTTTTGACTGAATGTCTGAAAGGGATGTTGTTTAATTAACTTGAAACAGTTCAAAATTACAAGCATTCATGTCTCTGTCAGTTGAAGTAGCCTTCTCCTTCTCTTCTATATGTTCGTCAGACTACTTCAGAAAGTAGGTACTTCCTCTAGTCACGAATATGTTACTGAGAGGCTATAACTAAAAACACAGTACCTCTGATTTGTAATAGATAATGCCCTTAACATTTGAAAATATGTTTACTCATCCATCTTATTTATAGAATTTATATAATTATTATTTATTTTTTGAGTTATTTTATTATTAGAAATATTTTAAGCATAATTCATATCTTATTCACTTACCCAAAATTTTTAAATAAGACGAATAGTCAAACGTGTATCAAAAATTAACTGAGCCGGAGAGAGGATATCTGAAACTATGAAAAGAGGAGCAATTAACCATTTCTTCCTTAATCCGCCTGCATGCAACTTGAAATCACAAAAGCAAACTCAAGTCAATGCCATGGGGAAAATTTACAGTAGCCCCTGCTTGCAGGTACCAAAAGAAAATTGATCAATTTCATGCAGGTGTGACCAAAGTACTGGATTCCAGGCATAGCACAAGAACATTCCACGGAAGTACCACAGCAAACTCAATCAATCGTTTTACTTGGTCCAAAAGAATTAAGAAAACTGTGCACCTCTTAACCCATTCTAATGATGAGGATCCATTTCCTAATTAAAGGACTTTGTTGTCAATCAATTAGACTATATTAATAAAGATGAGCCATTTATTTTATCTTTTTTTTTTTTGAAAAATGTTGACCAGAGAAGAGAAACATCCCAAAGGCATTGCCATCTTACCTGTATACGGACTCTGTTGCCACCGTTCTTAAAAACTTTTAAAATGATTTTCATTTTCTACGGAAAAGAGTATTAATGTAGAATAGTAAAAAAAATCATTATCAGTATTTCCGACGGTGGCGGGGAGTTATATAATATATATTTATGATGAATTGTATTCCCCTGCTTTTGTTGAAACAAAGTGTTCTTTCAATATCTCATTCACTATTCATTTGACTTATATGGATTTTAAAAATAGGCAATTTATATGCCATACCGTTATCCATTCTGAGCATGGACTAAATATTTAGAACGTAAATTTTGAACAGACTAACCTTTTAGTGTGCCGGAACTATTAAAAAAAATTAAAGACTTTTATTAATCCATAAAATATGTCCGAAAATGTGTTCTTCAGTTTGTTTTCTTCTGGTTAAGTATGCACTGGTTCTAGTTGGCACATGTATAATAGTTGTGATTGCATATCTATTTTGCTGATTAAGAGTAAACAAATGGAAATAACTTTCTTTGAGTTACGCTTTCAGTTAAGATTGTTTTGAAATTATTAATGTGCAAAATGAAAGTAGTTATTATAGATCCTTTCAGATATGTCTATTTCGATGAGCCACTAGTGCCTGTGTTGAAAATGCAAATTATTCTAGACAAATTTTGCTAGAGGACTTTGTGACTTCGTGATTTTAGCTGTATGACACTGCACGAAGTAACTTTGGGGGACAACACTCTATAAACGTGAAAATTGACTCGTCGACACCGCTTCTATTAGAATATTCATTCCAGGTTGAATATGAGAGTGAAATCATGTGAAAGTTCTGAAATGCCTCTGAGCCTACATGTGAGGTCTACCATCTCTCTATCACTGGCCAAAATTTCATCAGATATTTTTAGCTTATTTGATTGTGTTTACTCCATCTGTCCATCATCTATCCATGTACATAGCTAGCATTCTTACTGAAAAATGACCCAATAAAAGGAAATATAGAACCTGTACATGTTAAATTACTTGCTTGAATGTTTGGTGTTTTCATTTATGCAGAGACGAATTACCAAAAACAAATTAATTTCAGTCCACTACAAGAGCTTTAGTAATAACATCGTTAGTTATTGTAATGCAGCTGTTCCTGGTTTACCCATTATTGGAAATCTGCATCAATTGAAAGAAAAGAAGCCTCATCAGACGTTTGCAAAATGGTCTGAAACTTATGGACCAATCTACACTATAAAGACCGGAGCTTCTCCAGTGGTTGTGCTCAATTCAACTGAAGTAGCCAAGGAGGTATGCAAGTTGTCCTTTTTCAGCATTTTTTTGTTACCTGTTAATGTTTTCATTTTCTTTCCGACTACCCAAATTGGTGTCCCCATATACTCTCCACTCTTTTACCCACACTTTTCATTCACTGATATCCTGGACTAGCACCACAATTTGCTCGAGCTAAGGGTGCTGGTGGTCCATCTTTGTTAGGAAATAAAATAAAATTATCATGACTGTTGCATCAAGCAATGCATGTATTCTTACATAATTGTAACTCTGGTGACCGCATACTGTTATAAAATCAACCTATCCGACATTACAACTCCAAGTCTTAAATTATAACCGACTTTATACACATATTCGACACAAACTCTAACAAATAAAGTAATAACTAATTCAATAGAAACAAACATAGACTTATATGGTTCAAAATTTAATCTTAGTTTTCCCCTTTTTTTTCAAAATTTTCACTTAATCTATCTTTAGACTCTTTTGAATTTCTATTCAAACAGATAAAACTCTGAAGAGCAAGGAATTCAAAAGAGTACAAATATGTGATGTTTTTTTTTTTAAAAAAGATGAATTCAAACTGATGAAATTTAGAATAAATAGGCAAGGTTTCAGATTGATCAACTCGAAAAAAATTGCTCTAAAATGCTAAAACACGAATGAAGGGGTAGTTAAGGACAAGGAAGCACACGTGGTTACAGTTGTACCATTGTTTTTACGCTTTTCAAATTATCCTTACACATGCAAAATAGAGGTGCTTTTAGTATGATGTGTATGTAAATTGCATGGTTTTGACAATTTCAAATGCTATCCTATCCGGTTACTTAGTTTACAGTTGATTTTTTTACTTGTGCAAAAGTTTAGAATTGTAAGTGGACATTTCTCTTGATAAATTAAATGTGAATATCATAATTACAATTAATTCAGATCAGAAATGAAATTAACCTACAACATGAACTCTAGAGCTAATATGATATTATTTTTTGTTTCTCTTTTTTCGTGGAGGTAAAACTGTAAACGCTTTGGTTCATGCAATTGTGCTATGATGTTGGCTTCTAGTTCATGACATGGGTCCTATGATGTTTGATATGTTTTATCTTCCTTATTATTCTTGGCTTCAAGGTTGACATGTTTGTATATGTTTGTGCAAATACCTTGTTTGGAAAGAAAATAAAGGCAATGTAAGGAATAACATCCCAAAGACTTGAACTCTGTTTGATCTTCAATATATCTAAGTCTTCAAAAAAGAACTTTTATACTACTTTTTTCTTACTCTTGCATAGTTACATATACTCAATAATGATAATCTCATATTAATTGGTCTGTAAATAACAAAAACACATATTCTGTACTACTTTTTCCAGGCGATGATTGACAAATTCTCATCCATATCTACTCGAAAGCTACCAAAAGCAATGTCTGTGCTAACTCGTAAAAGTATGGTCGCAATCAGCGACTACGGTGACTACCAAAAGATGGCGAAGCGTAATATTATGATTGGCATGTTAGGTTTTAATGCACAGGTACAAATCTCAGCAAAATTTAAATTCAATAGTGGATTTTGGGTACCATTAGCACTCAGTTAATTGAGCTCTAACAATGAAATGCTTGCATAAATTTCAGAAACAGTTTCGCGGTACAAGAGAGAGGATGATCAGTAACGTGTTAAGCACTTTGCATAAGTTGGTTTCTCTTGACCCACATTCCCCTCTGAACTTCAGGGATGTTTACATTAATGAGCTGTTCAGCTTGTCCTTGATCCAGGTTTGTATTACCTCTGAACTTGAACTCTCCAGTGGTCCGTTTGTTACTTCCAATACCTGTCATGATTGTTATGAACTTATAATTGTTGCAATTTCGTAGTTACTAGGACTGATCTTGATTGTTATGAACTTATATATATTTGTTACAATTTCAGAGTTTAGGTGAGGATGTGAGTTCAGTTTATGTGGAAGAGTTTGGGAGGGAGATATCCAAGGACGAAATCTTTGATGTCCTTGTGCATGAGATGATGATGTGTGCAGTTGAGGCTGACTGGAGGGACTACTTCCCCTACCTCAGCTGGCTTCCAAACAAGAGCTTCGACACAATTGTGTCTACTACAGAATTCAGACGAGATGCTATCATGAATGCATTGATCAAGAAGCAGAAGGAGAGGATTGCACGCGGAGAGGTGACACAAAACTTCTATTCGTATCCAAAAATAACTTTTTTTTTCTGCAGATCATCTGAACTGAACTGTAACGTATTGCATGCAGGCAAGGGCATCCTACATTGACTTCTTGCTGGAAGCTGAGAGGAGTGCACAGCTGACAGATGACCAACTGATGCTGCTGCTGTCGGAGTCCATCCTGGCTGCAGCTGATACTGTCCTGGTGACCACCGAATGGACCATGTATGAGATTGCCAAGAACCCTGACAAACAGGCAAGAAATTAACTGATACTACCTCCAGTTTTATTTTTTGGTTTCGGACAACACATGTTTTAGCATGTTTTCTTTGTAACTTGTCGTAAACGTCAATTAATTTTGTCCGGAGGGAGTACTTTCAATTATCTTTTGTATATACTCTTTCTTGTATTGTATTGTGATCCTCTGACATAACTTTCTCTTGATATGGTCATTGACATGTCAGCGATCATGTCTCTATAACTTTACGAGAAAGAAAGTCAGAGGATCTCAATCCCTCTTTCTTTCAAATGCATTTCAGCATTTTGTTGCCAACCAAACTAATAAACAATTGATTGTTTCTTGTTCTTGGCACATCGATCAGGAGCTACTCTACCAAGAGATCCGAGAGGCGTGCGGCGGCGAGGCGGTGACCGAGGACGACTTGCCGCGGCTGCCGTACCTCAACGCCGTGTTCCACGAGACGCTGCGGCTGCACTCCCCGGTGCCGGTGCTGCCCCCGAGGTTCGTCCACGACGACACCACGCTCGCCGGCTACGACATCGCGGCGGGCACCCAGATGATGATCAACGTGTACGCGTGCCACATGGACGAGAAGGTGTGGGAGTCGCCGGGGGAGTGGTCGCCGGAGAGGTTCCTCGGCGAGGGGTTCGAGGTGGCGGACAGGTACAAGACGATGGCGTTCGGCGCCGGGAGGAGGACCTGCGCGGGGAGCCTGCAGGCGATGAACATCGCGTGCGTCGCCGTGGCGCGCCTCGTGCAGGAGCTCGAGTGGAGGCTGAGGGAGGGCGACGGGGACAAGGAGGACACCATGCAGTTCACCGCCTTGAAGCTTGACCCGCTGCATGTCCACCTCAAGCCCAGAGGAAGGATGTGAGCTAGAAGAAGCAGTTCCATGCATGATGAAGAATTAATGATATTCTCGAACGTATTTTGCAGGATGAATAGTGATATTAAAAATATAATGGTATATACTACCTCTGGTTTTTTAATATGCTAGAAAAAAATGTATGTGCACTGCTAGGGGAGAAATTAAATTTATCATGAACATCGTAGTATTTTTTTTTAAAATGTACGACGCCAACGTTTGACCATTCGTCCCTTATATATTCAATGGTACAATTTAGATTTAATCAAATAGAGAAAAAAAGCATTACACCTCTCCAGGTACGATGGACATATAAGTGTTTTCTTTTGTTTGCACAGTACAGATCCTTCCATCTGTGATGGCCTCTAACATGCCTAGAATTATTGGGCTATCACTAGGAAGTCATCTCAATCGGGACAAAAAAAAGTGCCCGATTAAGATATAGTCACGTAAACATATTAGATGGGTATAAAACTCAGACCCATCACGGATGACATCTATCGGGCCGTAGTTTAGGACCGATTGAGATAGCATTCCATATCTCAATCGGGCCCCAAGTTTACGCCTATCACGGATGACAATCATCCGTGACGGGCGCCAACTTAGGCCCGATTGAGATAACAACTAGGCCCGTTACAGATGACTCATTCGTGACGTGCTGTATACTAATGCCCGATTGAGATGACTTAATCTCTATCGGGCCCATCACCGATGAGTATTTTTCTATTTTTCATATGAAATGTTTATATTTGTAAGTTGACCTGTAGTAAAATAATTAACTACAGTATAATAATTTATTTTATTTGTCAAAATAATTTTTTGGGTAGTAAATAATTTCAAATGGAAAAATTATCAACCACAAGGTTATATAACTTATCAAGATTTACAACTTTTAGTTTGGTCATTTTTCTATATAATTTTTTTAACAGTTTGAATTTGAATTTGAAAATATGACAACTTCAAAACAACATTTTCAAATATAAATGATTTCAAATGGAAAAATTGTCAACAACAAACTTATATACCTTATCAAGATTTACAACTTTTAGTTTGGTCATTTTTCTATATAACTTTTTTTTGAACAGATTGAATTTGAATTTGAAAATACGACTAATTCAAAATAACATTTTCAAATACTAAATGATTTCAACTAAAAAAGTCATGAACAATAAAGTTGTATAACTCGTCAAGATCTGTAACTTTTATTTTTGTAATTTCTTCATCCGATAAAGTGTTGGTAACATTGTTCACAAAATTTACATATATGTGTTATAGTTTATAAAACTAGATGAAAAATATGTGAATTTTGTGAACAATATTATTATCACTTTGTTGGATGAAGAAATGACCAAAATGAAAGTTATAGGTCTTGATGAATTATATAACTTTGTTGTTGATGACTTTTTTTGTTCAAATCATTTAGTATTTAAAAATGTTGTTTGAAGTACTCATATTTTCAAATTCAAATTCAAACTATTCAAAAAATGTTATATAGAAAAATGACCAAAATAAAAGTTGTAAATCTTGATAAGCTATACAAGTTTGTTGTTGACAATTTTTCCATTTTAAATCATTTACTACCCGAAAAATTATTTGAATTTCTTATATTTTAAAATTCAAATTCTATGTAATTCAATCAAACCCGAATAGAGAAATGACCAAAATAAAATTGGCAAATCTTAATGAGTTCTACAACTTTATTTTTGACAACTTTTTCATACGAGTTCATTTAGTATCATAAAGTTCAATTTGAAATTCATTTTTGCCTAAAAGTCTGATTTACCTCCTCTTCCCTCTCCACCACTTCAAAATTTCAGCAACCTTATCTTCTCTTCTCACTCAGTCCTCTCTCAATCTCCACCTTATCTTCTCCTCTTCCCTCTCTCACTCAGGCGGTGGCCGGGCGGTGGTTTGGCAGGCGACGGCGAGACGGCAAGAGCGGCGGCGGCAGCAGAGAGGCTTGGCAGCAGTGGGGAGGGTCGGCGACGCTGGCCTCAGGGCGGTCGGATCCGGGGTTGGTGGCCCTGGAGCCGCCAGATCCGATGATGCTCGGCGGCGCGAGGCGACGGTGGGAGCTCGGTGGCTCAAGGCAACGGCGACGAGCGGATACGGCGGTGCTATCCTCGGGGCGCCCGGGTCACGACGACCGTGGAGCAGCGCGCGGCGGTGGGCGGGAGCGGATTCGGGGCCGGCGGCGCCCTCCCCCGCGGCGACGACGACCTCGGGTGGCGGCACCACCGCCATCCCCTCGTCAGCGCCGCTCCCCCTCCTCACCGCCGCGGCCGCAGGGGCGGCTCTGCCGCCTCAGGCGGCCTCGCCCCGCGCAGATCCAGCGCTAAGGGTGGCGGGGGTGGCCGATCCGGTGCCGGCGACGGGAGCGGGGGCAGGTTGCGGTGGGAGCGACCGGCGAGCTCAGGTGGCGGTGCCGCCGCATGCGGCTAGGGTTTCTTTTTTTAGAATTTTGTTTTTTTTAGCGATTTTTTCTCATCCGTGACGGGCTATAATTTAGGCCCGATTGACATGAGAGTCATCCGTGACGGGGTATAGTTTAGGCCCGTTTGAGATGAGAGTCATCCGTGACGGCCTTTTGTGTTGGCCCGATTGAGATCTGTGTCATCCGTGACAGCCGGATGCCCGATTAAGATATTTTACCACATCAGTGACCTTTGCTCTGTGACAGGGGCTCTACCCGATAGAGATGAGACTTGCCGCCTGTTACAGATGACTGAACCCGTGCTACTGTTGGTTTATGAAGGAAAGCTGAAATTTGGCAGCCAATAAAAGAAAGGGTTAATTGAATACATATGCCATTAAAAATTTACAGGTTTTAAAAAATACCATTACTACTAGACTATTGGCAAACATATCTACAAATTGGGTGAAACAACCTCCATACCACTTTCTAGGCTGGAATCGTCATGGTTGACCACGTTTGATTTTACTACCAATTGGGACAAATGTTTACCTTATACAGAATTCTCCTCTATAATAACAGCTACTACCTCCGTCCTAAAATATAACAACTTTTAGCTATGAATCTGGACATACAGTTGTCCAGATTCATAGCTAGAAATGCTTATATTTTGGGACGGAGGGAGTATCAAGCAAGCTTAAAAATATCACCCCGTGAAGCTCTTTATGGAAGAAAATATCGAACACTGCTTATGTGATCTGAAGTTGGAGAAAAGAATGTATTTGGAACAGATCTTATTAGAAACAGACTTAAAATAGCTCAATCTAGACAAAAAAAAAGGGTTATGCAGATTCTAGGTGTAAAGAATTAACTTTTGAGCAAGATGATTTTGTTTATTTAAAAGTTTACCTTTGCGAGGGATAAAAAGGTTCAAGTAAAAGGAAAATTAGCCCCTCGCTATATTGGACCGTTTCGAATAAATGCTAAACGTGGAGAAATAGCCTATCCACTAGCTTTACCAGATTATTTGTTAGAGGTACACCCTACATTCCATGTCTCACATCTAAAGAAAATTTTTCTATTGACATTTTTCTATTTTATTTTGTACAACTCTTATTTTAGGTTCAAAATATAGACATTACGGATCATGTATTTTTGGTTTGATTATTTAATAGAGCAACAATTAAATTAAAAATTAGATTTATAGCTTTCAATATTATTGATAGTTTGTGTTTTAGTTTGAGAGCTTAAAGTAGAAAGGGGGAAGTAGTGGAGAGCGGAGAGTGTGAGCCAAGGGGGAATGGGGCGATGCATTGGGGACTTTATTTTTCTAAACAATTTAATTAAAATCAATGATGATATGTTTTGCTTTTTTCTTATAGTTTCTAAGAGTTTTTCTACTTTTGAAGACATGACACATAGCGGCTTAAGATTTTTCTAAAGGTAGACCTAATGGTTAAAAATAATAAATCCACTAATTTAAGTGAAAACCCATTGTCAAATATTATTTTCCCCTTAGAACTTATATTTTTTGTTCTAATTTTTAATACTTGACACGTGGCAAGTTAAGACCACTACAAAGGATTTAGAGTGATTTAAGATTAATTATGTAATGCATGTTGTCATTTTATTTATATTGTTTCATTAATGTTGTTATTATTTGGTCGGCATACAAAGGACATGGGTCTATGTTCAAATGACATATTTTATTTTTTATAAAGTAAAAAAATATGAGGAATATGGATCTTAAATTATTTATTTGATTATAAATAAAGCAATAGTTCAAACAAACTAAAGGCTTAATAATTCTGATTTTTTAGCTTCCTATTTATTGATTGTTTTTATATTAATAAGTTGTTAGTTAAAGAAAGGAGAGGAAGAAGTTGAATGGGAGAGAATAGGATGGGAGAGAGTACATGCACATATAATAAAAGTGGAGGGGATCATATGGTAGGGTGAAGGGAGTTTGTTTTCTTTAACATAGATCAATGGGTTTGAGTTCTTAAGATGGTATAAAATAATAGGTCCATCGCAGTAAGTAAATTTGGTAAAACAATATTACCATTATCTTTTGTTTGTGTTTTATAAGTTTAATATGTCTCAGTTAAGAGCTTTATTGATTTATAAAGATCTATCCGCTTCTACTTGTCTTTTTGTGCAATATATTCATAGTATTTGTTAAAAATATGAGCATATAAAAGTATATAAATGGGTTTATTTTGCATAGCATGCTTGGTGTCCATCAAGGAATAAAAAGAGAGAAGGTACGTGATTAAAGTATTTTTCCAATGAAAATTTGTTTTTCTTAAAGTTTTGTGTAGACACAATCGTTTATGGTGTTAATCAGTACTGCTTAATTTGTTATGGTATAGATATAATGTTCTCTTTTGAAATGAGCGAGATTGATCATTAAAAAGTCATATCTAACCAGATGTATGACCGTGACAATCTTCGGAGCACCATATCATTGTTTATATTTTGATAAAGATCAGTAGTTTAGCGTTTGGTTTGTTTTCGTCTATGTATTGTTCATAATTGCATGAGACATCTTTGCTAATCCTAAGAATATATTTATTTTTTCCAAAATTATTTAAAGTAATTAATTTGTTAGAGTGCACTTATAGTCACTTAGGTAGGGTGTATGGCATACATCATCTACTATAAGAAAATATATGATAAAAGTTGAATGCATAGGATTGTTGATTTGTTATCGTATCTATTTGGCAAAGAAAAGACATATATGACCATAATTCCCGTGATGGATTAAGGGGTTGTATTATGGCAAGATCATAGCTTGGAAATTCCAATCAAATAGTTATAAAAATTATAACAAAAATTGAGAATCTTAATCTCACATTAACTAAAATTATATCAAATCTAA